TTCCCCCCCTCTCCCCACAAGTCTGAGTTTCCAGCATGACCATTCCCAAGATGGTGCACATTTTACTCATTAGCACATAGGGCTTTTATTTGAGGATTTATACTGATATTTGACAACCAATTTAAAACTGGCTTAATTAACAAGTTTATTCCCTAACACACTTAGCTTGGTATTCCCATTGTTCAATTTTAATACTCTTCGTACAAATGACGGTCAGTTTGTGGCAACTAGCATTTTAGCCAGGAAAATGGTTTACAAACTATGCTCTTTTACATTCATTTTGCTAAAGAGAAAAGAAATGTGCTATTTAGTTTAATACTAACTCTATCTTAAATTGTACCTTGAATTTGTTTACAAAATAAAGTAAAAAAATCAGAAGGGCTAGGTGCATCCCTAATTAGACTATAAATGGCTTCTTCCAAGATGATTACAAGCACCCTGTTCATAGAATGTAACAGTTGTTTCTCAAATCACCCTTATGAGAGCATTATGAAATTTTATCTGCTTACATTCTATTTCTGCTTTATATTGTTGTTATATTAGAGCTATGTAAGAGTGTGCTTTCTATCATTGCAAATACCAGATAAAATAGTTTACTACATCAAATTGGGGAACTGTACATATAAATTATCTGCTGCTATCTACAGATTATGTCTGTAAAAGTTAAAAGCATTTTTCCCCTTTTAGAGAGAACACTCCCAATACCTTCTTTGGCTCACATATAAATTATCTTTAAAAGGACCAGGTGCAATGGGCAAAGTTGGATGTCTTCCCAACCCAGGTTTGAGTTTTGATTTCTAAATGTACTTGTCTTGTTGAGTTAGGAATCACAGAAATGCAGAAATTAGAGTTTAAAGAAACCATGTCAAGAATTGTTTTCCTGCACCTTCTGCCTTAAGGGAGAGAAAGGAGTGGGGTAATGGCAGTTTAGGATAAGTCATCTGAATTGAAATGAATTTAATTGCTTTTCTTGTTATCTCCCTGCCTGCACAGGTGGCTAGGAGAGTCCTGTCTGTCTCCACAGATGCATGTCAGTGTGAACATAAGAGGTACCTAGAATTTGTAAATCAGGTTAGGCAACCAGGTAGCTCTCCAGCTTTGTTCTAGTTGCAAGATTGAATACATTTCCATTGGAAGCATTTGTGTGACATGATTAGACGATTAATATCTAACAGGACACCAGTGCAAGTGTAGCCCACTCCTCCCAAACCAGTTTGGAGTCAACTCCTGAAAGTATAGGTCCACACTGGCATGGAACTTTTGGGTAGAGTTGATATCCTCTATAATATTTCTTCATTTATATGGTTTTGAACTCTGTGGGGTCTGCTCCAGAGTACTCTTGGGAGGACAAGAAATTTCTAACTAAGAAATGCCTAGCAAGGAGGCTTTGTTGGTATATCACTCAGACAGAGAAAGTAAAACCACCCTTTCATTCTGGTTTTAGCATGCCAGCTATCATTATCGCCTTTACATTCCTATGGCTGGCATGCTATAATCAAATGAGAAGACCCTCTGCTCTATTTCTGCTCTATTTAAGGAAGGCAGTGCAATCCCATGCATTTCTGATGTGATGCTGCAGCTTCTCATTCCTCAGTTCTTTATTTAAACATCACCTTCTTAAGATCTTTCACTACCACCCTTTCTAAAGTAGATTCCCTCAACCTCCATCCCTAGTTATTGTCCATCACAGTACTTTGTTTACCTCCCTCATAAAAGCAAATTTTAATTATTATATTAAAATTAAAGAAATTTCTCAATTTTCATATATACAGATTTGTGTAAATTCCATGGGGAACACCGAAAAGGCACCATCTGCTTATTAAGTATTATTTTTTTCAGTATTTAAAACATGCAAGGGAAGAAAGCACCAATTTAATCCTTGGTATAAAAGAAACAGGGTCAGGTTCATTTTCAGTTCCTCTTCCTTAAAGACAACTGCATTCATTTCTGATAATTTTTGTATCTGCTGTGGTTCAGCCAACTTCCCTAACAGTTGTGGAATGTGAAATGTCTACATAAGATTGTGGGAAACCTTTTTTTTTCTTTCTACCAGTTGCAAACAAGGTGATATGTCCCTGCATGCTACTGTTGCTAAACTGGGAGCAAAGTAAAAGAAAAAGACTGATTTAAATAATACATTTAAGGTGCTTGTTGAGTGAAATGTCAAGGAGATTCATGTCTTGCCTTGTCCATCATCAGCCAATCAATGACACTTGAACCTGGGATGACCAGGTCAACTTGCTACCACTGCTACCAAGTGGGAGAGGGATTGCATAGGTCATCTCTCAGAATGACAATTACTTTGTGGAGCTATGGTAATTCCACAAGCCCCGGTCATTGTCTTGCTTAGCAAGAGGCTTCCTAGGCACCCACAGCTAAATACCAGCTCACTCAGATCTTGACACAAGGAAAACAAAAAGGCCTTTGGGATATCAACTCCCTGGTGACCCAGGTCTGATCAGAATTGAATTTCACTCTGCTTAAAACAAGTTTTTTGAGAGGAAAAAAAGGATTATAGGAAATGAAGCCTTTGAGTGAACTGTGTTGTTTCTTTTGCATATAAATGAATATGAATATGAATACAGTCAATAGTTAGACTTCTGCCATCTCCTTCCCACTCCCACCCATGCCAGTGACATTTATTTTGGGGGGTGGGGATATTACTCGGACTAGAATGTCGTCATAAGGTATAAATCCATCATACTCCTGTTTGGGATCAATACTACATATTTACTGTTAATTTGTCATCCTTTCATATGTGTACTTGTTGTAACCTGTAATCCTTAAATTTGCTCTGGAGATTTGGAGATTTCATCAAATCCCCAAGATCAAAAGCCTTAAAATTTTTGTTTGCATTTACATGCAAAGCTTACAAAGTTCTCAAGGGGGAAATGGTAGTAAGAGCATTTTTCAAACCCTTGTTAATTGTTAACTGTCAAAGCCTGACAGAGAAATCTCAGAGGTTTGTTTTAACAGGGGGAAAAACATGACATTAATTTTTAGGTTTCTTAAACTCAATGGTGAACATGAACAATATTTTTTCTCATCAGCTCACTTAAAATATAAGTGTAAATGTTAGTCAAAGCTAAAATTGCATATAAAAACATCAACTTGTTTTCTCTCTCTGAAAGACAGATGTAGAACCTGCCTTGAGGATCATAATTAAGGCAAACTAAGTGGGGAAACTGGTATTTTGGGAACATTATTTTAAATCGCTCAAGTCCTCAAAGAAACTTTCAGTAACAGCTGTTACTTTGATCATCCTAATACTGTTGAAAAATAATATATAAAATTAGACTACTGTATATCCCCCAAATTAGCAATGAGCTGAAAGATAGAGATATAAATCACATTTTTTAATCTGCCTGTCTTACTTCGGTATAACTTAATTAAAAATGAAACCATCTGAAACGACAATGTGAAACCAACTCAATAAAAAGACTTAACTATTCAGCATTTGAGAACACAATTTAAGCATACTATAAAGTGTATGTGTTTATTAATACATTACTTTATACATTATTATTGTATTTCTATAAAATAAAAATGAATTAATCATTTATAAAAACAATCAAAATTCACTTTAATTGGCTGATTTTCTAAATACCTATTTTTTTAAACCTCATTCATATGATAAAAGATGAGAATTATTATATGAATAACTATCAAAAAAACCTCAGACTTTTTAGTAAGTCTAATATTATAGTTCACATTTGGTCTATACCCCCACACTAATGATCCTAGATAAGAAGACATTCTCTGTATGCACAGGCTTCAGAACTGGCAGGATTTTTACAGTAACTGATCATCTTCCACCTTAAAATATTCCATGATAATGATGGTTCTACCATTTTTTTTATCTGTAGATTAAGCTATTTAAAAAATTAATACTACCAAACAAAGCATAAAGATGATTTTTTAAAAAATCATTTTTGTTCTGGTTTGGTTTAGAATAGTATACCCAGAAATATTTACGTCCACTTAGGAGGTAATAAAAGGTGGCACAGAATTTTGCATAGTTTACTTTCTAGTATTTTCTGTATATAATAGGTACTGCATATTCTAACAGTTCCCATTTTACATTTCCTGAAGAGATTGAATCAGTGCAATTTCATGTCTACAGATTTTTAGTTTCTAACATTCAATGACTAAATGATCAGTGACAACAGTTATAAATTGTGCTTTTAGGAAGAATAACTGTCCAAAAGGAGCTCATTTAGCAGCTTACTTTCTGTGTGAATATTTATCATTTACTTTCTTTTCTTAAAAAAGAATGTTTATTGCAATTAGTAGAAATATTTTTATCATTTCCGTTTGTTTTTCTCTGATTGCCCAGAGCGGTAACATTATTCTTGGAAATGCCAGTCAGGGGAAGGAGAGCACTTCCAGGAATATAACCACAATGAAGTGATTTGGCCTAAATACAGGCATTTTAATTGAGTGCATGTAGACACAGAACATTTCTTAAAAGCAGTGTGAATATCAGTCTTCTCCAACTGCAATTTCAAATTAAGATGCTATTGAAAATTTTCAGGCCAATTTCCTTTACTAGCTTTTCTATTTTAATCTTCTGTAGGATGAAGGGGTAGGGAGAAGATGCATACAAAAACTCTAAAAATGCTAATAATTTTACCCCAATTATTCTTTTCTTTTAGAATTTGCTGTAACCCATATACACTCTTCTCTGAGAAAAGGTAACTACACTGATTTAAGTTTATAACAGGGATCATAAGAAAATATTTTTCAGCATTTTGGAATCTTCAGAGCCAATCAGGCACTAAATTTACTACCGGTGGTTGTGAGGGGCAAAAATGCAAAAGAAGACCCTCTTCTCTGTACTTCTACAGTTCAGTGATATTTTAGGTACATAATATAATCCTGTATAAGATGTGAATCCCTGAAATTCAAATAAATTATATGCAATTTAGCTTCAACATTAGCTGAATTTTAATGTATTATATTCTTGGAAAATCAGCTGTTGATATAGAGCTACTCTCAATTATATGAATATTTTAAATACCAGGACACTATTTCCTAACTTCCTCTTAGAGTTAATGTTAGTAATAAAACGCTCCTTAAAAGTTTGGTATCCTGCAGGCAATTAAGCTGACCATACTCCTTTCCCCATGGGGGCCTGGTGTGCAATGGCTGCAAACAGCAGCCTCCTTGGTAGTGTATGCAGCCTGTGGCTTGTATGGGTTGCTAGGACCTTGGAGACAGTCCCCTCTGATATATGTCCATGTGTCAGACCTTGTGCTGTTCCCAGTCCACGCTCCAGACAGGTATGCATGGTGCTTTTGGAAAGCCCCAGGGCGCTGTGGCCAGGATTCACGTTGGCCAAGTCATCATGTCCATTTGCACCAAACTGCAGAACAAGGAGCATGTGATTGAGGCCACACACAGGGCCACGTTCAAGCTCCTGGCTCACAGAAGATCCAGATCTCAAAGAAGTGGGGCTTTACCAAGTTTAATGTGGATGAATTTGAAGACATGGTGGCTGAGAAGTGGCTTGTCCCAGATGGCTGTAGGGTCTAATTCATCCCCAACTGTGGCCCCCTGGACAAGTGGCTGGCACTGCACTCATGAGGGCTTCCACTGTGCTGCCACCTCAGTCTTGCCCACCAATAATCCTACTTCCTGTCCAAAAAAACAAAAAATAAAAGTTTGGTAGTTTGTATTCCCCTAAAATTCTTCTTTTTCCACTATCACTTTAATGTATTTCTTGAGATGCTGCATCTAATTGAGATTATCACTCTCCTTATACCATGATGCCTGAGATTCTTCTCCAAATAGCCATAGAATTTATCAGAGCCCTTTATAAAGCTCCTGATTATAAAGATTCCAAATAGTATTAAATATCAAGCACACCAAAGTTTGGCTCACAGGAATACACCAAAGAGTAAGCAAATTAATCAGCTTTACTACCCTAAGATAATAAAGGATAAAACAAATAGATTTTCCTTTCTGTTTACCCTTGGTATCCCAGCTCTATATTTTGAATGAATCCTTCAGCACACTACTAGTAAGGACAAAGTTGGGATCTAAGAGCTATTGAGATCAAATCTAAGATTTTTTTTCCTCCCTAATACCTCCCTTGAAAACAATGTAAAATGATTCTTGTTCTGAGAATGAAGACTAACTAATCACCCAGAGAAAACCTGTTTTGTTCCTGTATGTGCGTCTATGAGGGTGGAAGAGTGCTAGCAGGGTTAAGGGAGGACGAAGACAAGAGGCCCTATAGTGGGGTGCTACCTAGCAACATATAATCTCAAGAATCCAGAATCGAGCTGTCCTGCATTTTGTGCTGTGTACACAATTTTGACAGTTGCTCTGTATAACTGTCTCACAAGACTTAAATTATGCGCTAACTATAGATGTATTAGTTTCCTACGGTTGCTATGACAAATTACCATAAATGTAGTGCCTTAAAAAAACTGTTATGAACTGAATGTTTATGTCCCTCCCCAAAATTCATATGTTAAAATGCTAATCCTCAATGTGATAGTACTTGGAGATGGGGCCTTTGGGAGGTAATTAGGTCAGGAGGGTAAAGCCCTCATGGTGGGATTAGTGTCTTTATAAGAAGAGACCTGCTCTCCACCAGGTGAGGCTACAAAAAGAAGACAGCCATCTGCAAACCAGAAAGTAGCCCCTCATTAGACACGGGATCTGCCAGGACTTTGATCTTCAACTTAAATCAGTTTCATTGGGTTAAAGACAAGGTATCAGCAGAACTCGTTCTTTCTGGAGATTCTGAAGAACAATCTGTTTCCTTGCCCTTTTTTCAGCTTCCAGGGGCTGCTTGTATTACTTGGCTTATGGCCCATTCCTCTATCTTCAAAGCCCATAACTGCTTCTGTTACCATCACATGGCCCCTCTCTCTTTCTCTCTACCTCCTGCATACCTCTTAAGGACTGTTGTGATTACATTAGGCCCTTACTGACGATTCAGGATAATCTCCCATCTCAAGATTCCTAATTTAATCACATCTGCAAAGTCCCTTGTGTCACAGATTCCAGGGGTTAGGGTATGGACATATTTGGGGACCATTACTCAGCCTACCAGATACTAGGGGTATCTGGCCTACTGATGAGGCTATGGGAAGTGAGCAGGACCTTCCCATATGCTTGACTCTAAAGCTCTATCAACCACACATACATAGCTCTGAGGGTACAAGAGGCAGAGCCTGGCACAGACATTTTCTATCTTCATAATTCATGGTAATAAATGATGGCATAAGAGGAGCTATGCAGAAAAACAAGGCATATTTGAGCCTAAATGAAACTCAGGTCAGACAGAATATTTTATAATGTAGTGCAATTATTGTAAAAGTGGTGTTTTAATCACAATGTCTACTAAAAGAAGAACTTAATCTTAGGAGAAAAATGAGGTATAGCTCTGATTATTTTAAGGATTAAATGAGAAAATTTATGTAAGACACTAAGAATAGTGCCTAACACTTAGTAAATGCTCAAAAATGTTAATTATTATGATTTCTTCCAATACTCAGAGATAAAAAAAAAAAAACACTTTTTCTCTTAGCTTGCAATGATGAATCCACATATAGTTCATTCCTTGTCAGAAAAGCACTTGCATTTCTACCCCCAAAGAGGGTGCTGACACTGAGCTAAAGGAAATCTCAGAAGACAACCTTCCCCAGTAGACCACCAGCACGATCTTTGACGTGCTTTTCTTTCTTGAGATGACCTCCTTTTCCTGGGTTAAAGTTGAGTAGCCGGGCATTAGCTGCTACTTAGAAAAGTGCTGAGTGGCTGATGTGTGCTGTCAGCAATGTGGGAGGCCAGCCAGAGAATGTCTGCACGGCCCCTCCCTCTCCATTTGTATTTGGCAAAGACTTACACTGTGATGCTTCGGAAGGTGAGAAGTAATGAAAATACATAGTTCTTTCAGCCATATCATCCACTCACATAAAACGCCATCTTCCCAATATTTCTTTGAACTAGTAGAAACAACAAAGAAAATGACATACAGAAACCATCTGAAGGGAAATCTAGTTATTGCAGGCAAATTTAAGAATCAGTCTCTTTCCTATTCTTCTAACTGACCTGTAGAAGGTTAAATGGTACCTTTTCCCCCTCCATAAAAAAGGTAGTCATAATTATTCAATAAAAACTGCAAAAAATATGCATCTATATCAACAAACAGGTAAATAATGGTTGATTTATCTTTGGGAGTCTTACTTTGCTCTGACCTAACACAGTTTATGTTCATCACTGGGGTTGATGGACTTGACTTTCTCCTCCTCCCTTCACCATTTTGAACCCAAAAAAGTCCTTTTTCCTTACTATCCACATTCGTTTGTGAAAATCTTGTGACATTTTCCAGCAAAGGCGGGAAAAGGCAGCCACCCCTCAGGTCAGACTTATTCATAGAGCTCGTTCTTCTAAAATCTTTTTCTGTTCTCTCAGAAGTCATTTCTAGTTTCCTACCACTCTGGCAGCCAAGTCCTTTGGTACTCTGGTTTGCCTCCAGGGCATTACTTCTCAGTCTTGCTTTCAATTCGATTTGTTTCTTATATAAGATAACAATACAGGCAGAAAGAGTTTTTTTGTGGGTTTTTTTTTAAAACCTCACTGTGAAATGCTCCTTAAGTATTTGACAAATGAGACTAGCCTTGTTAAAATGTTTTTTCCTCTAAATGATATTGAAGGAAACATCTAAATATTCACATCTTAACAAGCAAGAATTACAGAATGGTTCAGAAGCATAAGACTTGGTCTTCTTAGTAAGAATAATGACTTCCTATTATCTGAACAATTATTACTTGCAGATGACCAATGCAAATATTTTGATTAAGGATTAGATGCAGATAGAGAGCTGAAAAAAAGGATGAGAAGATCAGGTCATAAAAATACTAAAGAATTTTAAAGGTGCGGATTAGAGTTTACTCTTCCAGGTTATCAATTCAGGGAAGGTTTGGGACATGGTAAAAGGCCTCTATATGAATTATTATTCTTTTAGAATATCACATATAGGGATTAACCATCTAACCCAAACTCAGACACAGAAGGATGAATCATAAGGGAGGGGGGAATTATATATATATATGAAAATGTCAAAGTTTAATGTACAAGGGGGAATTAACAAATAAGAAACTTAGAAGGAAAAAGTAAGCAGGACAATATTTATTATGCCAGTTTAAAGACTAAAATCTATTAATATTTCCTGCCCAAGGCTTCAAAATTGTTCTCACTCTCCTGTGATCTTCTAGCCTCAGACAATGAGATTATACATACACATACAATCATCCAGTGAGACAATTGGGTTACATATACCATTTTTCTACTTCCTCTAGGGCTTCCTAGCATTGCTTGAAATCTAATAGGAACAGAATATTATGAAGGAAAATGAGTCTGTACAGTCCACTTCAGACTTAATTTCATACAATGTATTTAAAATACTCCTATAATTTACTTGAATATCTATGTCCACTAGATAATAAAGAGAACGAGTAGTATGTATCAATAAAGACACAGAAAAGAAATTGGCACCCCCAGCCCTGACTCCTAGTGAAGTCAACAAACTGCATGGCAAATCATGACTATCTCTCTGCCCTTGCATGGCAAACCTCACACTGAATAATCTTTCTACAATATTAATATATATTATAAAACACTGGATGTGTAAACCTGATTTCTTAAATAAAATGGCCACAACAGCCTATAGAAAGTATCCTGATCAAGGCTAGCCCTACCCCCCTCCCCTACATAGTCCCAATATTAAAGCTTTTCCAGCCATATCTCACAGCACTTGCCTATAGAAACTCTTCATTCCAGCCAGACTAACATACTCCCCATCCTATGCATATCTCCTTTGGGTGATCCTGGATCATCAAGCCACTACAATAATGATGGTTGGATGTCAGGGGCAGACGATGTTGACTGCCTGGCAGGTAGTGTCTACAATGTGGATATGCTGGACAAAGGGATGATTTACATCCAGACAGGATGAAGCAGGAGATTTCATCATGCTATTTGGAAAGATTGCACAATTTAAAACTTATGAATTACTTATGTCTAGAATTTTCCATATAATATTTTTGGACTGCAATTGACTGTGGACAACTGAAACTGAGGAAAGCAAAACTATGGCTAAGGGGACTACTGTATTTGAAACAGAGGAAATTGGCTACATGAGTGATTGAAGAGCTAAAATGCAAACTGAGAAAGTCGGAAATAAGCCAAAGCAGGAAGCCACTGCACTATCACCCCTAACCTGGAAGGCCAAGGGAGGAGGCAGTGTTACTGGAGCCTACGGAGCACAGTCCCTTCACAGAAGCTGTAACCACAGCTGGAGACCAGAGGAGCCACAGGCTTCTTAAGAGTTGCTGCCCAAGGCAGAGAGGGACTGAAAGAAATACGGGGGCTTCTTCCTTCCTCTTGTCCTTTACTATCCCACTTCCATTCAGAAGCCAGGGAAATACAGCCTGCAAGCAGTCTGTCCTCTTGTAATACAGGCCAAGCAGGGGAAAGATGGGGAATGAATCTAGGCCAATCAGGTCTATACAATAAGCTGCATGTACAATTAAGTCTGGGCAGAACCAGCAGATTGATAAGGTCTTTTTATTTGGAATTTTCAAAACCTTTTTTATAAGCACTTTCTGTGGTAAACATGAATGCTCATTCCCATTTCATAAGGTTGAAATAGGGAGAGCTGTTTGCATGAGATCTCAAAGAAGGTAAGTTACAGAACTAGAGAAAGGACAAGTATCTGTTTTATTTGCAGCATTGTTTTCTGCTGTTTCATATGTTCTCCATTTTAATTATGCACAGGGTCACTGACAAAAGTTGAAACAAAAACTGGAAGCATCGTATCTTGTCCAATAAAACCATTCTTCTGCCAAACTTAGCTTTGGAAGAGAGTGGTTTGACTGTTGCTTATAAAGTCAAGATTTGTTCTGAACAAAGCTACACATTCTAACAAAGAAAACAAATAAAAACTACAAACAGAAAAGCCAACATTTTATAGTTTCTGCTGATGTTCAGACACTTGGGAGGCAGGCAGCCAAGACTCAAAAGGAAACATGTCATAAATAAACAGGCAGAAAAATGCAACAAACATTTAGCAACTTTTGAGACTATGTCTTGTCCTTTTGGGACTCTTATAGCATCTTAAAGGGTATTTCTATTACTAAAAGTACCCTAGAAATTGGGGAGACCCCCGGGGAACACAATTGCTTCTCACTCTATGTCTTGTGTTACTGGATCAGTTGGGTTCTGGCTGTTTCAGTGATACTTGGAGAATCTTGGAAAAATTTAGAAGCTCCTGTAGTTGGGGTTGAAATAGCAGGTCTCAGACAACTCCTCTTGTCTGTAGCTACCTGCTCTCTGCTCTCCTTTGTTCCCATGGAAGCAGGACAAAAGGAAATTTTATTGTTCCAAGGACACTGGAACACTATAAATTCATAGTACAGCTTTGAAAAGCTATTAGGTTTCTAGTGCTAAACCAGGGGGCGGGAGTCATGATGGCGGTGATAAGAAAATAACCTCGAGGAAGACAGGGAGAATGTTTTACACTTTCTCTTTCTGAAGTAATATGTATCTATTTCTGAAAGAACTTTAAATTAACAGTGATTATAGCAAGGTTGTAGGATACAAGGTTAAAATACAAAAGCCAATTGCTTTCCTATACACCAGCAATGAACAAGTGGAATTTGCAATTAACAACACAAAACCATTTATATTTGCATCCTAAGAATTAAATACTTAAGTATAAATCTTACAAAATACGTACAAGATCTATATGAGAAAAACTACAAAACTCTGATAAAAGAAATCAAAGAAGAAATAAATAAATGAAGAAATATTCCATGTTCATAGGTAGCAAAACTCAGTATTTTTTTATACTGATTATCAGTGTGTAGAAACTCAGTATTTTTAAGATGTTAGTTCTTCTAAACTTTATCTATAGATTCAATGCAATCTCAATCAAAATCCCAGCAAACTATTTTATGGATGTTGACTGATTCTAAAGTTTATACAGAAAGGCAAAAGACCCAAAATATCCAACATACTATTGAAGGAAAAGAACAAAGTTGAATGGCTGACACTACCCAACCTCAAGACTTACTATAAAGCTACAATAATCAAGACAGTATGATATTTGTGAAAAAATAAACAAATAGATCAATGGAATAGAGAATAGAGAACCCAGAAATAGACCCACATAAATATAGTCAAATCACCTTTGACAAAGAAACAAAGGCAATATAATGGAGAAAAGATATCTTTTCAACAAATGGTGCTGGAACAACTAAACATCCACATGCAAAAAAATGAACATAGATGCAGCCCTTATACTCTTCACTAAAATTAACTCAAAATGGATCACAGACCTACATGTAAAATGCAAAACTATAAAACTTCTAGAAGATAACATAAAAGGATATCTAGATAACCTTGGGTTTGGCAATGACTTTTTAGATATGACACCAAAGGCACAATCCATAAAAGAAAGAATTGATAAGCTGGTCTTCATTAAGATTAAAATTTTCTGCTTTGTGAAAGACACTTTCAAAAGAATGACAAAATATTTGTAAAAGACATATCTGATAAAGGACTATTATCCAAAGTACACAAATAACTCTTAAGATTCAACAATACGAAAACAACCAATTAAAAAATGGGCCAAAGATCTTCACAGACACCTCACCAATGATGACATAGAGATAGCAAATAAGTATATGAAAAGATGCTCCACGTCATATATCATCAAGGAAATGCAAATTAAAACAACAATGAAATACCACTATGCACCTATTAGAACAGCCAAAATCCAAAACACTGACAACACCAAATGCTAACAAGAATGTGGAACAACAGAAACCTTCACTCATTGTCATTGAGAATGCAAAATAGTACAGCCACTTTGGAAGACAGTTTGGCAACTTCTTACAAAACTAAACATAATTTATGATCCAGTAATCATGCTCCGTGGTATTTACCCAAAGGAGTTAAAAATTTGTGGTCCACACAAAAACTGGCCCATGGATGTTTACATCCACTTTATTCATAATTGCCAAAATCTGGAAGCAACCAAAATGTCTCCAGTAGATACAGAATAGAATAGGTAAATAAACTGTGGTACACTCAGACAATAGAATAATACTCATCACTAAAAAGAAATAAGCTATTAAGCCATAAAAAGACACAAAAGAAACTTAAATGCTTATTATTAAGTTAAATAAGCCAATCTGAAAAGGCTATATACTTTAAGATTCCAACTATATGGTAGTCTGAAAAAAGCAAAGCAATGGAGACAGTTAAAAGATCAGTGGTTGCCAGGGGTTAGTGGGGAGGGAGGGATGAATAGGCAAAGCACAGAGGATGTTTAGGGCAGTGAAAATACTCTGTATGATACAATTAACATAATGGTGGAAACACATCATTTTACATTTGCACAACCCCATAGAATGTCTAACACCAAGGGAGAACCCTAACGTAAACAGGCTTTGAGTGATAATAATGTGTCAATGTAGGTTCACCAATTGTAATAAGTGTACACTCCGGTGGGGGCTGCCAGTAATGGGGGAAACTATGTATGTGTAGAGGCAGGGGCTATATGGGAAATCTCTGTACTTTCCTCTCAATTTTGCAATGAACCTAAAATGCCTTTAAAAATTAAGTTTTTATTTTTTAAAAAATGAAATTAACAGCAGTGTTGCAACCCCAAACTGTAATGCTGATCTAGTATACTTAGAGCTCTGTTACTCCAAATATAGTCTTCTCAAATAATGGATTTAGAACATACAGTTTAGAGAGAAAATGATGATGAAAATAAGGAGACATGAATAACATTTATGTCTCTCAAGATATTTTTCAATTTAACTTCAGAACCACTGAACACCAATGCAAATTCTATAGGACTTCAGCTCTATAGATGGAAGTAGCAATCCTGCTGAGTGCAAGAATTCATTCAAATTAAAGCATACAGGTTTTCCATCTTATTATATACAGATGTAGGTTAATTTTATTTCATCTAGCCAAGAGTAGTTTTTTATGTTTATCAATATCATTATGTCTGTTTTATAAAATTCATCCAACTGCAAATCAATCACTTTAACAAGTGGTTGTTAAGCTTAAACTGAACAATTAAACCCAAAGTAAACTGCCTTTCAATTCACGAATAAAAGCTTTATTAATAAAAGTCTTTTGAAAGGATACAAAAATCACCACTACTTCATTATCTTTTTTTCCTGGAGCACTTCCTAAAATGAATAACAGCCTCATTTGCATTTGCAAACAGGAAACTCTGCAAGTTATACTGAGAGCAAAGCTTAGTTTTTAGGTCAGTTGCTAAAAAATATTTTAGAACATGCATTACTTCAGCATTGCAGTATTGGCTAAAAGAGCTTTAATATGCAAGACAGGATGTAAGATGCTTAGCTGATCCAAATGCCAGTCTATGGATTTGAAAGACTAAAGATCACATCACTAGAAGGTTGACAGAAGTGACACTTTGCAAAGTGCCAATGATTTATGCCAATGTCTTGCTTGATGATACTGTTATAGACAGCACTGTCATTAAAAAGCCCCTGCTGACTTCCTTCTACATTTATGGTGCACAAATTATAGGTGAGCCCAAAGATCGAACCCTCCCTGCCTTTTAGATTTCAATGACCATGTTACTTCTCATTTAGACTAGTTATTACATGTACACTCCTTCTTTCTACTTGCTTCTTATTTTGTCTATAAACAGCAATGAGAAGGGAAGGAATGAAAAAAAAATTGAAAGTTATAAACATATTCCCTGGAAGGGAAGCTCCCACGATCATAAACTAGAAGGGATATTTTTTAAGTCTCAAAAGTCTTTCACAATCTGCTCTTATTATGAAAAAAAAATACCAAACACAGTTTTTAAAGAGCATATTTGAAAGCAAAGCTCTGGAGTAAACTGTCAGGATTGCTACAGATTAACTTTTCCTCACAGTGTGGTGACCTGAGCATTTCTAAAACAATTCCTCAAACAGTAAAGAAAAGATGAGATTATCCTCTGAAATGCTTAATTTAAAATATTCTGTGGTAAACTTCTGCCTCAAATGTTAATATACAAATATTTGTTTTGTTACAGTTTTTAAAAATACAGCAGTCCACTTACTTGAGGGCCATACATTCCAAGACCCCCTGTGGATGCCTGAAACTGCAGATAGTACCAAATCCTAAACATACTATGTTTTTTCCTATATAAATGTATATATGTATAATAAACCTATGATAAAGTTTAATTTATAAATTAGGCACAGTAAGAGATTAACAACAATAACTAATAATAAAATAGAACAATTATAACAAACATGCCAGCATCACTAGTCCAGCACTTTGGGGCCATTATGAAGTAAAATAAGGGTTACTTGAACTTAAACACGGCAATACCACAAAAGTCAATCTGATAACCAAGATGATTACTAAGTGACTAATGAGCAGGTAGTAGATACATTGTGAATACCCAGGATAAAGGGCTGGATGGAGCAGGAATGGTGCCAGATTTCATCACCTACTTAGAAAAGCATACAATTTTTTAATAAAATTTAAGAATTATTTATTTCTTGAATCTTTTAAATGGTATTGTTTTAATATTTTATTTATAGAAACCAATCATTTTATCTTGTATTTGGGAAACACACTCCAACTTTTGTGAAGTATCCTTAGTTTACTAAAGCTAAGTTTAAATTAAAGGAACTAGCTGTTGTTTCTTCTTAAGAAGTATTACAATAGTATTCAACTTTTTTCCTGAAAAAAATGTCACACAAGCCCAGAAACATTTATATGTGCTTAATTTGTTTGAAATGACTACTTTTAGTTTCTTTATATCTTTACCTAACAAGAAAATAGATGACAGTATAAAAAGAGACTGTAACAGAGTAGTCACCCCTCCTCCCATAGTTATGGAATCATAAAATTGAGAGTGGGGAATGGCCTGTGAAAAATTAGCAAAAATATTTTTTGTCTCCTTAAAACATCCTCCACTTCTTTTTGAGAACTAAAACCTGTACCCCTGCCTCAGGCCAGTGGTTGGGAGGGCCAGGAAAACGTCTTTTGTTCTTCCTGCTACAGAAGATGGCTCAGCTCTGACCTAGCGATGAAGGTCCTGGGATTGTCTTCAGCGGGAGATGGGACAATTAGAATCATCAACAATAGTTGAACAGCAATTGCCTCAAGCGGACAACCCACCTTCTAAAAGCTCTGTGTTTCTGCTTATTATTAGGACAGTGGCGTTTCAGACAGGAGTCTCCATCCTCTTCCTTTGCTGGCAAAGTAATAAACTTCTCTTCTCTTTTTCTTCTCCTCAAACCATTTGTTCTCGTTCTTCTGATGCGGCCTTGAGGACAAGTACCAGGCTTTCGGTAACAAGACTTAATTTAAGATTTAATTGCAACTCTATTACTATTTATATTTTATTGTGTTGGTGTTGGTGGTGTTCTTTCCTTAGTGTGTTATTAAATATAGACTTATATCAATTAGAGTTCATATAATACTTTAAAAGTTGAATTTTTTCTAAATGAAAATCATCAAAGATGAAATTTGTTGAAAACTAAAGTTTGTAAGAGTTAATTTTTTGAATAAAAAAAGATGAAATAGAAAGGTCAACCTAAGATAACCACACAACAGCATTAAATCAAGATTTACTGTTTAGAAAACCAACCACGTTGAGTATTATTAATAAAATATACATGACCTTCTGTATACTGGGACAACAGAGGCTAACAGCAAGGAAGTGAAATAAATCTGCAGCCAAATGGATGGAGATTTAGAAAAAGCTCCATCCCACATGGATACCAATATCCACTGGAAAGCTGAGACACCTAACCAAGCTGGCTGATTGGCTATACATATCAGAATAGGACAGGTAGACCAGCATGCTGTAAGGGTGATGGTAGTGGGGGCGAATGTTGAATGGTTGCTCCAAAATAAGTGTTATTAACATGTTTAAGTTTTAATTATAAAAATAGTACATTAATATATCCTTTTTATTTAAAAAAAAAAACTGTTAAACATAACTAATAAAGCTAACATTCACATCAACCCTTTGGACATTCCAGACCTTTAAAAACACATTCACATAATAAAAATGACCTAAATGCCAACCAACATAGGAGAATGGCTAAACCTAGTATGGTATATACATACCAGGAAGTAATATGCAACTTTAGAAATGACATAGATTTTTTTATATACTAACATAGAAAGACGTCTAAGACATATTGCTGAGTCAAAAACACAAATTACAGGCTGGGTGCAGTGGCTTATGTCTGTAATCCCAGCACTTTGGCAGGCGGAGACAGGATAATTGCTTCCAGCCAGGAGTTCAAGACCAGCCTGGGCAACAAAGCACGACAGCCTGGGTGACAATGAGACCCTGTCTCTAACAAACAAACAAACAAAAAAACAAATTACAGAATAACATTTACTTTATGATATCATTTATATAAAATATGTCATTCATATAAAATAATATTAATACCCATTCTTAGCTATCTTCTTGTGGATCCTAGTAACTATGTTTGAGCCCATCTTTGGCACATAATCATGGATCATCTTTTGATGTGCTTTCTAGTGTCTTACACTATTAGTTAATTTTTAATTTGAGTGTACTTTGCAGAACCATCCATAGCATCAAGTTTGCACACAATAACCGCTCAGTGAATACTATTTACATAAATACTTTTACACCTAATAAGACTGATGGTAAAGCTATAGTTCTTGTAAGTTTACTTCAATAGGCTTAGAGTAATGTGAGATTCAGCATAAATTTTATTCTTCTTTTAATAAAAGAAAAGTAATAACATTTTTGTTTTATAACCTTCACAGTTTTCATAAATACAGATATGTATGTATCTGCTGGTCCATTTCCCATTTACTGATAATTAGTAACTTTTTATAGTACTTAGTAAAAACTTTTTGGTGTTTTTTTACTTATTTTATTTTCTATGTTTCATATTCTCTATATGGCCTGGGAGAAAAGAGTGTTGGCTTTAAAAATTCTCAGATTGATAATTTTATTCCTCCTTCAAAGTCTTTGTCTATCAGTTAAAAGAAAACATACCCTTTACTTTGTCTAAGCTAAGGTATATTTTCACTGTATCCATCAATAAATGTTACCCAATCTAATATAGAATTTGAATTAAGTCATGTGGTGTGGTTTTTGCTTTATGAAAACATCTTACTGCTTTAAAAAAAACACCCCAGTTTGTTCCTTCCTGCTGTAACAATTCATACTTGTAATTATTCTTTTAAGTTAAAGAAAGACAAGAGAATGTTGTGCTTTGTATCTAACATCTATAAAACCTACAATCAATAAATTTCACCATGTAATAATTGTAGATAATCTGAAAACATGAAGTGATGCATTGGTAATCTAAAAGGACAATAAAGGTTATATTAAGTGATCAAATTTTAGTTCTGTTATAAATGGATCATCTGCCAAGGAATCTCTGAAAATAATCCTCAAGTTAATTTTTTTCTTTCTTTCACATCATAACCTTAGCTATAATCTGGCGTCAGTCTAATTTCCCAGTTGTATTTCCAACTATACCCCCAAATACATCACATGCTCCAACCATACCACATTTCTCACTTTCTGAGAAATCCCCGCCCCCAAAAGAGTCTTGGCACATGTTATTCCTTCTGCCTAGAATGCCTTCCCTATTGTTTTATGACAAAGTCCCATGGATCCTTTAAGTCCTACCCTTGATGCTACCATTACAATGAAGCCTTCCCTATCTCCATCAAGCAAAGTAAGCGACCACATGCTTTGCACTTTTTTCCTTAATATAATTTACCTTATGGTACTGTGTTTATCTGTTTTTAGATTCTGAGTTTCTTGACAGTAAGGACTGTGTTTTCTTTATATTTGTATTTCCAGAAACTAATTATAGCACCTACTTCAAATAAGTGCTCATAAAATGTTTATGGAATTAATGAATTTCTTTTCATGGTTTCCTCTTGCCACCCAAAACAGAACCCCATGTAATTGTCCCAGATCACTTATGTCTGCACAGGAAGCACAAGCCATTTGGTGGCTACAAACAGAAGATATAGAACGACCCAGCAAACCAAAGGGGCCTAAATGGACACTACTGGGAAGTCTGTCTCAGCCAGTGTAGAGGAAGTCCATAAAAATAATTTGTTTCCTTCAAAATACATTTCTCTATAACACAAAGGGTCTCAGATAGCTGATAGCCTTTAAAACAGAAGTCCTTAATCCAAAATAAAAAAATGGCAAGAAAAAAAAAAAGAACCTGAAAAAATAAACCAAAAAAATATAAGTTTTCTTATGCTTAAAAAAAATAATGGAGAAAACTAAACTAAGGAAAGGAGCCAAGAAAAGAAATCTCAAGTTATCTGGAAATTAAAGAAGGTATTTCAACTTTTTAGATTGCCTAAGAACAAAATGCAATCAAAGTAACAGAAACAGGCCCCTTTTTTCCTCTTGTGTAGTCCACTCTTAATAAGAATATAAATAAGTAGTCTTCTACACTAGTCAAATTAAACCTTTCAGTAGCTTGAGCACAGCGAGCTAAAAGTTGACTATCTGCTTTATTCCTGCTGTGAAAATTGATTATATAAATTGGAGTTATCTTGTCATACCCAATTAATTTTAAGTTAAGAGACCAGAGAAAGAAAAGTAAAAGCACTTGGGGCACAAGCATCTGCCCAGGAATTATCTCACAAACCAGTTGCTGAAAAGACCTGCTATAACCTTAAGACCAGCTTTACCTAGTAGCCACTGAAACGAACTGCCGTAACTCTTAACACTAGTTTTACTTACTGCTGTCGCTCACTAATCAGCTTGCCCACTCTCAACAACTTCCACAGTACCAATCAAGTTTTCTTTAATAATAATAGGTAAGTTTTCTCTTTCTAATAAAACCCCAACCTTTTCTCTTATTTTCCCCCAGACATACTGAAGACCATCACGGTCTGTGTGCATGCCCCAAACTGCAAATCTTTTTTCCCAGATAAAACATTTTATTTTGAGATTCTTCTCTGTATTTTATTTGACTTTGACACTGCCTATCAACTATGGGTTCAGATGTATTTGTCTACTACAAGTGTGCTCTAAGATCTTCAGAAATATTTGGGAATTCTGCTCTCATCTATAAACAGGTATTTAAGGAGCACCTCTGGAAAAAGCATTTCATGAATTTATTGAAAGGTTAGTAGCAGAGTCATGAGCAGGCTGATTGACTATAAAAACTAATGAAGTTTAATCTTCTATCACTGTGTTTATATGGTCATATGCTTTTGCAAAATTTGCAAAAGTAAGATTTTTAACTTCACTTAGGTAAGACTATTATCTCTTTCCACTCTAACTTTCCTTCCATCACAGTTCCTCTCATGTGAAGGGGTACTGAATTGGCAAAAAACATTTTGAGATACAAAGGGAAGCTAAATTGGTGGTATATGTAGTTTGGGTTTAGTAGGGTATTTATGTGGTTTGCAGTTATTTCCATATAGAAGTGAGTTATTACCAGCTGTTTCCAACCTAAGAATGAGTTTCAGGAATACATTTATTACCACCCATTGTGCTAACTAAGCCAATGTCATAATATGACATGTAGGGCCAGAGGTTGTTTTGCCATATTTGGATAGTATGATGGAGGATACTAATCACTGTTCCTCAATTATGCTTGCACTATGTCTTTGTTTTTGTTATTTCTTCCACCTAGCCTTGCCTTCTCACTTCCTCCAATGAAAATGCTACACATTCTTCAAGTTCAAATCAAATTCCATCTCTTCAATAAAGCCTTCCCACGTATGGAATAAATCTCTCCATCTGTTTTCCATTCTGTTGCTTTTTGTTTGTCTCTCTTTAAAAACAAACAAACACTAGTTGTTTTTTAGTTACTGTGACCATGACTCTCTCTTCTACTCTTCCATTGTAAACTTGTGACGGGCCAGAAAATGTCTTATGTAACTTTATATTTTGCACAGCATTAAACACAGAATCTAAACCAGGGGTCCTCAAACTTTTTAAACAGGGAGCCAGTTCACTGTCCCTCAGACTGTTGGAGGGCCAGACTATACTTTAGAAACAATTATGAACAAATTCCTATGCACACTGCACATATTTTATTTTGAAGTAAAAAAACCAACAGGCAAAAACACCCGCTTGTGGCCTGCAGGCCGTAGTATGAGGATGCTTGATCTAAATCATGGTGCCTAGAAAATGTTGATGTGAATTTAATTTTTTGTTAA